AAATTAAAAAAGGTCAAAACCATTGTTTACTTCATCAGTTATCAAATATATACTATATAATTTATGTACGTCGAACCTCTACACAACATTATAATAGTGTTAAAGTGAAATAGACGTGGGGTATTTCTCATGACCATTTCAGCCAGCCGGGTTGAACGTGAATCATGTTGAGAGTGGTATAACATATGGAAATTTTAAGTTAAAATTTTGATAAAATTATATATATTTAAACGAAGAATATCGATTTTAATTATTTTATTTAGTTATCTACTTTTCTCAATTACTTTGAAACTCATCTCTCTTTTTAAAGCAATAATATTAATTAGGTAAGTACTAGATACATGAAAAAAATTCTAATCCCTAATTATTTTGCAATACAACGTTTTTACAATATATGTATTGTACATTGTACATAATGAATTATTCCTATGAATTAAAACGATAATAATTCAAAATAAATTAATGCACTGTCTTATATGAATTAGTAATTTGTGTAGATCTGGTGGTCCTTCGAGGTTTCGGATCTATCTCATTAGTATTCATAATGATCAATTTTAATTAGTAACTATGTAAATGAGGTCTGCCAATGATGGCCACAGCGATGGCAATATTATGGTCACAGTTAGCGCGATAGTTATCGAATAGTAAACGCTAATTATTGAGTAACGATATCTCGTTACACGATTAGTTACCTAATATCAAAAAATTACAGATCCTCACAATGAAAAACTTGTAAAGATTCCTATGGTTATCTTAATTTTAAAATAATCTTAATGAACATATCATAATAAGTGCATATAAACATAATAAATAATTTTAAATTCAAGTTACAAAAGTTATTTAGTATGTTACATATATTTAGTTTTAGCATCATATTCATATCAAAGCCAGTGGGAATTTTTTTTTTTCGAAGAGAGGAAGCGGCATATTATCCATATCACTATTGGCATTACGTTAAGTATCTAAGTTTATAGGAAATATAATATTTTTTATTATGCAATTCTTGAAGATTAGTCTAATTGAAAATTACTATCCGTATAGGTATCTAGTATTGACCCCATGTTTTATAAGTTTAAACTGATTGTATTATTTTAGATACATGATAATAGTTATTAGAATTAGATATAAAAGTTCTATATTGAAGATATTGAAGTCTTTAAATAGTTTTTCTGTTGGATATTTCCAATTTTTTTTATTCGTCACTCTAAGTATTGTGTTTTGGTATTATAGATGAGTCACAGCTTTTTTTGAAATTTTTTCAGTTGGTTTTTCTTTTTCTATAGACAAGTTTTTCTTTTTACTAAAAATAATAAAATGAAGATAATTAAAATTTTTAAATTTTAAATATAAGATTATTATATACATAAATTGAATGATTATTGTATAAATTAAAGAACAAAAATAAAATAAGTAGTCTTACTATCGACCATACTAATCGATCAAATATAATTTAATTTAAAATGTAGGTACTATTATATATAGGCGTAAATAATAAAAAACTGGTTTCTTGAATGTGAATTAAGTTCTTCTTTGGGTATTATACTTCAAATACATAACAATATATAATTATATAATACTAGTCCACTTAAAATAACTAAATAATTTCAATCAAATTGCTTAGCACGTCGAAACAAAACCTTATAAAAATGTTATTAAAAGAAATGTTTGGCGCAGCCAAACGGATCTAGCCCCCCCCCCTGATAGGTATCAAGAAATATATTTATTTAATCTATAAGCTAAGTGGATACTGGATATTAGAAACAAATAACAATGTTGTGGTAGCTCTCATTACAATGACAAAACTATTATGAAAAACATTTTACATCGTTCAGCACATCAAACAAAATATATATTACTAGAAGGGTTACTTGAAAAAAAAATACTGGTTACCCAAATTAAAGGATAAATATTTTGATTTTTTATCAAACGTTTATAGTAATAATTGTCTACTTATGAAAACACTCAATAAAAACTTACTTTCCATGAAATATTTTTTTAATTAAATTTCCAAATGGTGCTTCTACGATCAAATACAATGCTAGGCCCATTAAATAACTTTTAAATGTATCGTATATCCATACATCGATCTAAAAACAGATGAATGCAAATTAAAATTATTTAATCACTTCTTAATATATATGTATTAAATATTGTATTTTTTTTACGTTCTAACTTAACTTTCATCTTACCGCTGATTTTATTGATAGAAAAGTAGGTAATCTTTGTGAACTCTGGGATACCATCATAACGATTAAATTCACCAAGAAAACACAGTATGAAAGTCTTCCTAAAGGTACTATAAATCTGTTGTCAAATATTTTTGATAAAAGACCTATAAGCAGTGAAAAATTAAATCATGTTATGAAATTTAAATATTTTATGTTTATGATAAGTGATAACTTATAACATTAAAATAATAAAATCTGATTTATAATTCTATAATATTGCTACAATAACAACAGTAATAATATCTTAAAATCAAAAATCATATAGGTACTATTATTGTCGATACGTGGATATGAAATTTGGTTCGGGCACATAAATTTGTCTTTAATTCTTAAATGTCTCCTATTATTATCTCTAAACATTTTGGTTTCATTAAATATGTAATTAAAGCAACCAAAACTTTACATAACATTTCATATTATAATCATAATAATATGTACTATTTTAACGAGTCTATAAAAAGATGAATTAATAAAAAATATTCCATATAACTAGAAATTAACATTACCGTAACCACTTGTGAAATGGCAACCAAAGCTCCACACACCTATCATCGCCCACGTACAATGGCTTAAAGTAAAATATAAGGCATTTTCTAATGGATAATGGGGCCTATGTCTCTTATAAAATATTGCCCCGTAAAACTGAATCCACAAACTGGCCACGGTTACGATCATCGTCCCACCGTAGACAGTAATCTAAAAAATAAAAATATTCTTATCCATGTAGTTTTAATTCATAAATGAATAATGTGTTTATGTTTGATATTTACCAGGGAAGGTTTTATATTTTTCTCGTTTAATTTATTGATAATAAAATGCATTGCTAATCCAGTAAAAAATGGCGTGGATCGCATGTAACTTGCTCTGTAAAATCTATTAAACGTTATAGACTGTCTAGGGTTTTCTAAAAACCTGAAATTAGTAATGTATTTTTAAAATTGAAACTTTAACTGAATACCAGCTACTTATAAGATAATATCTTAAAAATCATTTTGACTTTATATAGGCAGTAGTTATTATTATCATTGCGTTTTACTTACGGAATATGAATTTTAAGTATTCCTTCACTTTTCGTTAAAATCGTCGTTGTAAATGGTACGAATATTGATAGAATAAACATAGTTGTAAGCAATCCAATTCCGTATTTATTGTTTTTTATGTAAACATAAACTATAACAACTCCAATTATGAAGAATTGAACGTCACACGATAAGTACCAGCTCACTATGAGGCACTGTTAATGAATTAATCGTAGTATTAATTATTAGGTACGTTTAAATACGTACTTGATCGATCACCCATAAATGATATTTTAACCTAATGGCTAATATAAATTTTATACAACGATTTTTTTTTTTTTAACAAGTTAAATGTATTTTCCATAAAAAAAGTATATGTTATAAGTAGACTATCGGGCAAACGTTTTACATTGCTCGGTCAATGTATACTTTGCCCAGTGTTTTTGGGCAATATACAAAACATACTATTTTTGCCATGCAGGATTGTACTTTGACCGGTCAAATTTACTTTGCTCGTGCTAAATTGGGCATTTTAGTAACTTAAGCTATAAACAAAACTTTCTATTTGAATACATTTTTTTTTTTAATGTGTTAAATAGTTAAGGAAGAGTTGATATAGTGAGAAGGATATGTACTATGTTTCAGTCAATTTAGTACGTATTATATTTTTGGAGTTATACGCACTTTTATATTTATATTTTATAAAGTAATTGGTTTGAGAATATAGAAGCAATGCTTAGATGTAAAATTGGATTAAACAATTATTTTACATATTGATCCAATATCAATAATTAATAAATTAAAAACTGAAGAAGATTTAGAAGCGACTATAACATCTATATGAATACTGGAAATCATTGTGAAGTTGATGAAACATTGATTGAAAGAAAAATAGATAACAGAATAAATAAAATAACTGCTGTTAGAACAGAGTTAGTTGTAAATTTTATAATTTAAGGAAATTGATTAATATTGCCCATCTTAGACTGGGCAATTCTATACATCTCGGGCAAAGTATAATTTTGCCTACATTACCCATCATAATCGGGCAGTACTATAATGCTCTGGCAATGTAAATATTACCCGGTAGTCTACTTTGCCCGTAACATATATATATATAGATATATAATTATTATTTTAATCAATAAGTCTTACTTCATACTTGACATCTAAAAAATTACTTATAAAAAATAAATTTCTCCACCAATATTTTTTACACATCTCGGATTCGTTCCAAGTTTTTTGAGGCCACAGTGGTCCGTCACCAAGGTAAGGTACGATATTAGCTGTGATAGCCATCATCGCACAATAAGCCGGTAACATTCTAAAACGATTTTAGAATAAATTTTAATGACTAGGTGTATATAAAAGCAGTCGCGTAGCTAACGGAAATGCTTATTAGTTATTAGACTTGAGACGTCAGGATTCAAGAGTATCAATATTTGATGTAATAATAACTCAATGGCAACATTTTGGATTTCAGATATCAATAATATCAATATTAATTTGCAACTAAGTGTGGCTTCTAATTAAAATAGTATTTTATTTATAATATACATTGATAATAAAATGATTCAATTAAATATATTATATATAAATATTTATATTTGTTTATATAAATTATTAATTAAAATAACAGACATTTTTTATACGCTCACATTTAATGGTTGAGTATTTTAACGTAAAATTATACTTAATTTAACAACTTATAACAAAAGTATTTTACCTTAATATTCGGTAGATTATCGGTGATATGAGCTTTGTCCATATTGATCCTGTTTTTAGTAATAACGGAGAGACTGTCAAGTACATGATAAAACCACTAATGAAGAAAAACGGATCGACTAGATTCATGCAAGTCAATAAAATATCTGGTCCATATTGGTACATCTATGAATATTATGTGTAATTTAATTTACTGTATAAAATTAATCTAATATTTATTTGTACAGAGTTTAAGCAATTGTAATATATTGATATATACTTTCATATTTTACAATAATATATGTATATTTATCACCTTTTTCGACTAAAATAATATAAATTACATAAAAGTGTATTTAAAAAAAATATATTTGATAATTCAGACATATGATTGGAAAATCATTTGAAAAAGAATAAGACAATCTGATTTCAAAATATAAATCATTTTAATAATATATTCAGCGTTAAATACATATAAGAAAGAAACACGTAATATATAATCAAAGTATCAGAGGGCGCAAAAAGATGTTGGACGACAATAATTTAAAATGAGGAATACGTTAGAAATATTTTGGGAAATTATAATATGTTAGATAATATAATATACACTGTACACAGATTTGTGTTTCCTACGAATCCAACGTGACTTATTTGTTGTTGTTAATCGAAAAATATTCAACAAAACGAGTAATAATTTATTGATTCTAAAATATATAAGTGAAATTGATATTTAATTAATATAAGTGCTATATTCATACTCAATACTTTCATCGATAGAAGAAAATAACCAGAGGTTCTTAATACATGATGTGCAAGACATATGCCGGAATAAAGGAAAAGTGAAATACATTTTTATTTCTTTTTTTCATATAGATTTTAGGTTTCAACAGCAAGGTTATTAGCCTGTAGTGGGTTTTTACTATGAGAGAGGATACTGTTTTGAAACACGTATAGGTAAATGTAACAAGAATTTGTCACTAAATACTAAAACCCCGGATTGGATAATTACTCATCTAAGAACTATCATCGACATCGGCCGAACTTGACCTCAGAATGTAATAAAGACCGAGGCTAAACATCGTGTCATACCAGGCCACTAAAATATATTTTATATAACAATGTAAGTATGCTAAACCCGGTAAAGATAACATAATAATTTATATTATTTTTGAAAAATATTTTCTTAACTCACATTTTCGATAAGTATAGGATTGTTGATAGGATTTCCTACTAAGTACATAAATCTGTGACCGAATAAAATGAATATCATGGTGATCACTTTTAAACCATTCAGTGCATTTAATTTGTTGTTTTTATTATATTTTAACAATTGTTTGCCAGACTTGATTAGTGAAAATGAAAGGAAGAATGCGTTATCTGTAAAACGAAAAATAACATATATAATACCAATGAATATGACAATGTTCTGCACAATTATTGAATAAAACTATCAATTATTACTTTAATAACTCTCGTTTATTGATTTCAATTAAAGCTAAGTTTTCTATAATTGTATATTAAAACCTTTTTAATTTATATTTTGGTTTTACGAATATTAATTCAGATATTTATTTCGTAGAAATATCGTAATAATTAATTTAAAATGCGTTGAATAGATATGTTGATCTAAAATCATACGCAAATACATTAGATTTTTAGTACCTTAAAATTAAATAATTATTAAGCTATCAGTTTTTTTTTTAAATGAATTAAGTAACTATTAACTATTGATCGTTTTAAATAGAGCGATAAGTATTAAATCTTTTTTGAAACAGATCTATAGAATTATGTTTTTAATTTCCATTGTAAGCTATAAAAAATAACTATACTTATAATTTATAAATGTATAGGTTGGCTCAAACACAATTAATGGCTTCTCGATATACCTATACTTGTGACTTTTCCTAGTTTCTACAACAAAAATCAGTAAAAAAAAATATAATCTGGTGTAGGAGCATAAATAAAATACCACGTCATGGTAGTATCTATAATTTCTATGGATTTCCTGCATACCTACCTAATAATCAAAAATTAAATAATATTACACACGTGTAGATTTAGACACTTTATATAATAATAATTGTTTATGTTACTCACCAGGTAATGTTTTTTTTTGTTCTCGCGATAGCTGTATGAAATGAAAGACGGTCACAACACAACAGATTAAAACTAGTATTGCAAAAAATGTGCTAAACAAATAAAAAAATAAAATAAATAGAAACATTAAATCAATATGATAACACATAATAGTATACATTTTTTCGGTTCATACTCGTATATTATTATACCAAATTTAATCACAATATTTTCGTTAAAACACATTGTAACTATGAAACTTTCAGACGTTTAGACGTTTCACATTAATTATTATAATATTTAATTCTCAGATCGGTTGAAAAGAAAAATAATATCACTCAACTCTCGTATAGTAGTTCTCAAGTGTACCTCGTCAATGAATAAGTCAAAGTTGTTTTGGATGTATTACATTTGAATTCAATAATAAACCATTGTATACTATGAAAAACGATTCTGAGTGATCAGACTCGTGACATCCAGACGGTTTTCCAATCTACTAAATAATTGAAAATTTTGATTCATTTTGTCAAAATTTGAATAATAAAACCCTCATAAAAAGTAATGTAACTTTATGGTATATATTTTTTAAATTCTTAATAGATCAAAACGTATGACAAACATTTTATTATACATAAGCTTTATAAAAACTAAAAATTTAGGCGTTTTAAATGTCAATAAAAAACTCAAAAAGAACTAAAATATTTTTAAATGTTATGTCTAGGAAACGTTTATATAAATATTTAATGAAATTAGAATTTAAAAAATTAAGAATTTTTTTTGATTTACAACAAAAACAAAAACAAATGCATTTATCACTCTGCTAAGTCAGCTACCAATTTTTTATTTTTTATTATAAAACCATAAATAAGGATATTAAACAATAATCTTAACTTTTAAGGGTACGATTTCAATATTTTAAATCGGTTTAAATACGCGTAGATATACTGTATAATATTATTATCAATGTCATGGTTATCATTTGTAGTTACAAATTTTCATTTACTCCTGTGATTACTTTTTAACTAACGTTGACTTTGTTTTGAAACAATTAAAATTTTCATTAGACAGTTTACTCATTTATTGCATAATGGACGTATTATTTAATAATTCAATGGTTAAATATTTAAATACTTGTCGGATACAATTTAATAAATATTTATTTTTTATGAACGTCAGCACATGACAATATGACCTGTTTTAATATATTATATTTTATATGTATTGAACACTAAATGTAAATCTTTTCAAACTTTAAAACAAACACAACCTATCCTTATTCCGATTAAATATGTTCTTTGTAACGTTCTGAAAAAAATAATTAATTATTTGTAATTAAACTTCACTAAAAAAGTGGAAATCATATTTTTATTTTACACTAAAAATGTTTTTATTATACGGAAATCTAAATTGTCCATATTAATATTGCTACTGTTGTAACGAAAATATTGCTTTTGTTGAAGTTTTAATTCGAATTACCTCGTTACATAATATGCCGTATGATAAGGATACATATCTCCACTGACAGTACACATTATTGGGTCCAATTTAACGACAGCTTTGAATTTTTCCGGTAAAAAAACCTTATCCAATTCATTTTGCAATGATGTCTGTAGATCTGACGCCGAACAAGAATCTGGTATGCATATTCCTAAACTCAAACTGTTTCGTTTAACTTGATCCGGAGTATCGACCCACTAAAAAAAATTGCCAAGTCTTATCTAAACATTCCATTTCTAGAGTAAAATAATTTCCTCAATTTTTCACCCTCGTGTTTAGAATTATTTTTGTCCAAATTAATTTGAATCACACAATAATTTAATATATTGAATATCAATAAACATTTTGCGCGAAACATTATATTTGTTATTCTGCAGTTCATCAACGATAATTTTTCGTAATATTTAACATTATACGTTTTTCTAAAAATAAATAGCAATCTAGCATTACAACACACCTCAAGTATTGTTTTCCATGCGTTATTGTTAATTGCATCGTTAAAGTTTTCTATTCCATTGACTAAGCTGTAATTTTTCCCCTTTGACGGAATTAAATCTATTTCAGGCAAACAGTACTGTCCCCTAACTGGATAATGTACATTGACGCATTCATCATAAATTCCCATATGATATTTGTTGCCTGCTAATATACCAATTGGATACTGATTCCAAGACTCTCGCACTAAAAAATAATACATTTTGATCATTTAATAAATATAAATAGGTAGTTCGTAAACTTACAAGTTATACTACACTTATATAAAACACTTACATAAAATTGAACTAATTTACGACAAAATGTGTTCTCATCATCTAGCCACAATGCATTCCGATATCACCTATTATAAATATATATACTAGATGCGCATCTCATGATATCAACATTATGTTAAAACGCCACTTTTTTATTAATGTGTTGTATAATTTATTATTATGTCAAATTAATTATAGGAGAAAATCTTACAATTATTCAGTTTCTGTACACAAATTATAGATACCTATCTAGATTATTATTAAATATTCTTTTGAATTTTGACGTAGACTCCTGTAAATTCTAAATACCTACGTACCTGCCGTCAACTCTAAATTTATCATATTTTTTTTTACTGTTTTGTTCTTTAATTTACTGTTTAAATTTTAAAATAATTTGAATTATATAATCATACATACGTAGATACAACCCATAAAGCAGTGACACCAAAAATGATTAGGTTAAATTAATTGGTTAACTATCAACCAGTATAGGAATATACTGTTGCATATGAAAGAAGATTAAAGGAATTTCCTGTACAACAGAGCAGCTTTTTGCGAGAAGTACAACTCATCATAGGCGTAACTAGGAGGGACTTGGGGGGCTTGGTCCCCCCAACATAATTTTTAGCCCCCTCTGTCATAATTCCTAGTCCCCCACTCCCACCAATATTAGTAACATTTTTAAACTTAAATTTAAAATATTGTTTTATTTTTTTCAATTTAATATCTTGGAAAAATATTAATTTAAACTATATTATTGTAATATGTAATGATCCTGTGTAAGACGTATCATGTTGTGTAATTTTTACTACACAAATACTCCCTACTAAGAAGTTGTCAATAAACTAAAAATCTTTAAATTCTTTATATCTAAAATAAAACTTAATAATATATTAATATATAAATACTTAACCTCAATATCACTTGGTTTATTAGGTATTTGTTTTATAATTAAATATTAATTTACATTCATATTATATGTATAATCAATGAATGTAAGGTGTTTGGAGGGTATGGGGGCAGAGCCTTCCACTTAATTTACTTATAATAAAAATTCTAGGGCTGAAGCCCCCCCCCCCTAACTTTAAGGTCTAGTTACGCCTATGCAACTCATGCACCATGTTTGCAACATTTTATTATAATTTTGGATTCCTGACAAAATAATTAGTTTTGGATGTAGATATCTTTTTATATACCTAAATCCTTTTTTTTGCATTTTATTATACAGAATACGGTGATGGTAAAACCCTCACGATTTATTCACTATTTTTATAATTCTAAAACTGGAGGAAAATTAATGCAAAATAATAGTTTCTTTTAATTTTTGTTTCTGTGATAATTGTAAAATATTCAATACATTGAACAATAAAAGAACTTGAAAATATTCAACTATCAATTTCTATGAATTTTAGATCAACTATTATTTTCTTATCTCAATTTATATATTTTCATGGTAGTTCTCACAATTGTAATGGTAATTACTAAGTTTTAATAAAATTTATACGCTGTATTTTAAATGAGCCAGAGTTTGTCATTCCATTTCCCAATTTAATAGTTCAAAAAAACTAAAAACTCAATTGTTGGAAACTCGTATGTATTCTATAATATCGACGATTTGTGTATGTATATGGGTTAAATACGCCATAACATGGATATGAATATTATGTAATATCGTACTTAATAACATAAATATAGTGACTAATAAGTAATAACTATAATAACATATCTCTATAAAAATATAATCTTTGCTATACCACTATATATAATGATTAATGTAAATCCCGAATGTAATAATATTATAATTACATTATTTTCGTACATTACAGCTAATTGAAAAGTGTATATTATAAAAAAATAACTACAACTACTATAATTATTTTTCTTCTTTTCAATTGTATTTAAAACAAAACTAACCGAAAATATTATAAAATTTAAGACTTTTAGGATATTAAAACACCAATTACGTGTATATTACAAAAATACAGAAAATTTAAATACAAAATTTTATTTTTCAGATTTTGAAAGTTATAAAGATTTTAAGGATTATTTAATGTTAAAATATATTAAACGATTTTTATTTTTAGGCACATTTATTTTAACCCATGTAGTTTAATGAATAAATCATTCAATTTCGATTAATTTCAAATTTTATGAGCTAATTGAAAATACTAGATACTCATCATCAGTGACGCAAACAGTGGAGTGGTATTAGGGTAACCCAACTCCTGAATTGTGAGATTTTTTTTGTACAAATGATACATTTTTACGATATACATATATGTATATATATACGTGCTTAATTTATATAAAAGTTCAGGTTAGAGTGTTTTTATAAAATTCATACCCCAGTCTTGTAATTGGATATTAATGCATCATAAAATAACACAGCAAAGATTTAAGTATTAAGTTTGATTTAAAAAAATCAAAAAATGTTTTAATTAATTTTATCATAAATTTTATTATACATAAGTTTTAAAACATTATATAAAAATCAAATTTTAACTATGAACTGAAAATCTTTTCTAGAATCAAAAAGTAATATTTTTTACACTTAAATTTATGAACTATGATATGACTTTTTGACCTTTTTTCTAGATTATAAATGGATTGATGAATATTTTGATTTTATAGTGAATAGTGAATTGTGTTTTTTATCTGTCATCACATGTATTAATATTAATTATTATTAGGTACTTAATATTCACTCACTTCTGACAGCCCAATCCGTATAATTCCGTAAATGTTTGACGTACATGTCCACTTGTCGCTGGCAAGCGGTGCTGCCCACTCGGTGTATTGTGAAATTGGCTAATGCACGGTAAAACAAATCAGAGACCCACGAATCAGGAAAAATGTCTTTATCCTGTAGTGATGCATCACTTCGGTCACTAGCAAATACCAAAGCGGAACCGTTGTGTGTAGAGAATTGTGTCGACTTTGGTTGTAGCAAAGTACCATCGTCGTCCTGATAAGCTTGACCATTGGACTCGGCCAACACCAGTGCCAATAACATGGCTACAGATATCGACCATCGCAATAGCGATTGCATTAACATCCTTAATTTTTTTTTTATCCTTGATTTTCATGTAAAATTACTTAAAGAATAATCATACAAACAATGTATAAACTATATTATGTGCAATGAAAAACAAAGTTAAGAACATACGCCGACCGTGAGTAGAACGTGTCAGCAATATAATTTTTTTGTATCTCGCACTATTGTATTATTTTTAATAATATCGTAATATGACGATTAAAATATTATTTCTGTTTAACAGCCGTCCAAACCTCTGCGCACAAATATTGTAATCGTCACCTGCCCTTCAAGTGGACTTTAGTGACCGTCGGTGTATGGCATAAGACTGGGAAGCACAGTAGGATACGTTTATGCTATATATAATATATTATTGTAATATATTCTTGTCCGATTACGTAATACTTATCTATACCTACATACTCGACCAATTACACGTATTGTACACAATTGAATGTTATTATTGTATATGCTTGTGATTATTGTACAGTATCAGTTATCACCAATATCCGTTATAGCAATTGAACGACATAATAATGTAAAATCAATAACAAATACGACATAAATCTGTGTCATAAAACAATACCTCCATTGTGTTAGTCTTCACAAAATATTTTTTATAAGCGCCTGAAATTTAAATTGTAACTGAATTGGATATTCACACTAAAATAACGATTTATTTTCAGACAAATTTAATTGTTATATTGTAATTCCAATGTAATTCCAAAAGTATTGGTTGTAAATACTTTAAATATTCCAGTATACATTAAATTATAATTTTCTATACCCAATGAAATTCACAAAATATTTAGATTACCTAATTTCAAGTTGTTCCTAATCATTACAAATATATTTTTATTTTTTATTTATTTATCAATAACAAATTTTAGGCTTTGTCAAAATGCTTAGCCATTTTATATAGGATCCATCATAGATTGTATTTGTATCAATTTAAAAATACAAATCATACATAAGTGTTTTTTTTTTATAAATGTTTGAAACTGAAATTATTACGAAATGAATTAAAGCCTCGTTGAAAATCAATTCAAATTGTTTAATGTTTATAGCTAAGTCTTGACATTTTTTACTCAGTTCTTTATAAGAAATTATTACTAAAGCTCTATAATTAAAATAATATATATACAAGCTGAATTTTTATTATAAACTTTTAACGTAAACATTTTGTTGAAATTTAGTACTTAAACGAAAAATAAATATTTTAGATATTTTTTAATAATTTAAAAATATTCGCGAGGACTTGAAATTTCTAGGTTTTATATAGAATTAAATTTTAATAAACGCAATGACATTTTCAAAGTACAATAGAAGCCGCTTATTAGGAACACTTTGGGACAAAGGTGAAATTTATCAATTAACCGATTGTTTCTTGTAAATAATTGGTTTGATTTTTACTACAAAAAAAATGAAAATTTTTTATTTAATACACATGTATTTTAAAAAATATATACAATATGTTACCTACTAACTATGTAATATACTAGTATGTACTATGTAGGTTGTAGCCTTGTAAGTATTGTTTTGCATCGAGTAACTCCATGACCATATTTTCATATGAGTAATGTTGCTCAAAGCTTTTTTCATCTGTACGGTGTTAGACTGCTCTCCCTAGGGCACTAAGAGCTTTTGCAATTTCTTTACTTGATGGAATGCCAGGGGTTTCTCAAACTACAAACAATATGTACGAAAAAAAAAGCATTCTTTCATAGACTCTGTACTTACGATAAAGCACAGTAAAAATAAACGTAACGACAGCAAAGATAATATTAAAGTAAGTACATTAATATTATCATCGGATAACCGATGTACCGACTATCCGTGTTCCTAATAAGTGGATTCTACTGTATTTAAATTAATTTTAAGCTATTCCATTTATATCACGAACTTATATACCATTATACAATTAGTAAAGGTATTTAGATAAAATATAATAATAATAAATACATAATATAAATTTATACTATTACATCATAGTTATAATTTCTAGATAAATTCAAGCAAACATATGATTGACACATTGGCACCGTAAACTCGTTATATGCGAGTCAACAAACAATTGTTTGAACTACCCACAAAACGATTTATTAATATAAAAGGCCCTCTTCATATAATTAAATATTATATTATAATTATTAAATAAATAAAGCAAATGTAATATCTTTTGCTAAATAAATTTAAGCTTGAGCCAAAACAATCTACTTCAAGTACCTATTTTCTATTTAACATCTGTCCATCTAGCAACGATTTACCTACCTGTTAAAAAAAAATACCAAGTAACTGTATCAGCTATAAAAATAAAATAAAAAAAGTTTAGTTTATTATTCACCACATATTTTAATTACTAAATGTACAATAGATGCTTTACATAAACAAATGTAACCTTTTAAATATTATATTGATGGATTTTAGGTACCTAACATATGCATATATGTATGAGAAATTTTAAGTTATAATGATAAACTTATGACTAACATTTCCAGAGTGGAATTTCAAATCACCTAATTTCTTCGAAAACAAACAATTAAGTGACGAAAAATGATGGCACTACACAGGTCTATTATTATAGCCTTGTAGCCGACCATGAAATTACAATTATAGTCCTGTCACACGCTAACTTATTAAGTACTTATACAATTTATTATTTATTGCATATCTTAGGTAAACAGACAGCAGTAATAATGTATAAATTTATTAATAAATATTTAAAATATACAAAAATTATTAACTAATAACTGTGAAACAATATATTATACATTCTAATAGGTATATTTTATTTTATTAAATTTACTCAAACTTCAATAAATTATGTATGTATGGAGTTAATAGCGAGTCATCACTGCTTAAACAACTAAAAAAAAATTTTCTTGATGGAAACAAAACTTTTGTACGTCCAAACGCCAAAACATTGTAATACGCGTAGGTGCAGAAGTTAAATACAAAATAATCGAACTTGATTTTATTCATATACACGTTATTTAATAATATTATTATTTATTATTTATTACATTATATTATATTACCTATTATATTATTGTGAATACTTGAATTAATTAAACCACGCACACATAAAATATCTGGTTGATCTAACTTACGATTATAATATCTGTGTATTTACAATAGTATGTGAGCCGATATTTTTTCTCGATTTATGTTCCGATTTACCTTTAAGAATAATTCATTTTTAATAAAACAGGTTAAGACTTACTTTTGTACTGACCTATGTATATTATGACGTATATTCTTTGTTTGGCTAGACATAATTATTATATGATAAAAAATTTAACGTTAAATTCTATTAGCAGTGTTTATCTCAGAAGGGTGACCGTTAGAGAGAATATTACACCCTCGGAAAAATGTAAAATTCACTACGTCCACTAACAATGATTGAATATGATAGGCAAATAAATGACTTGTTTAACTACTTTTCTTATATTAATTAATTAATTAATGTGTACCGATTATAATCTAACTTATCTTGCTATACCTTTTGTAAGACGAAGTAATCGATTACCGTGCTTTATTATTATTATATATTTTGTATAGGCCTAACGTTTTAAATGTAAGTACTATTGTCTATTGGCCAATACTCATTAATTATAGCCACTTCTTATGTGAACAAAAACTACAAAAATAATTCCGTATGTAATTTAGATTAATCTTTTTTTCTACATTATTTGCTCTTATCTTATTGTAACCCCTTGAAAATTTACAAAATCCCCTTCCTTCCCAGATAGAAGGTCTAGAATAAACACTGTCTACTAGGATGTTTGAATCGGAGTTCACGCAGAAGAATGATTATTTACAATACATTTTTTTTTTATATATACATATTTTAGGTTTTATAGGAATACTCGTGATGCTAATAACATAAAATTTTTTATTCGAGGGAATTGGTTCCCAAACTCCAACCCCACGAGTCGAATTGGTTCCCGTTTGAGAAATGTATTTTATTAAGGTAAGCCGAATTGGTTCCCATTTAATTTCAATTTTATTTTCAATTGTACAGGCTTAGGACTGTCAACTTAGAAGTAGGTTTGGTTAAAAATGTGCGTTGATGTGTTATAAAAAAATTTATATAATATATACAATTTTAAATCGTTGATTTGGAAGTTAACTATAATCATCACTAGGTGTAGGTACAAAATACTGCTAGGTTCTTTTGGAATCCAAACTTGTAATTATCAATAATCAACAACTTAGTTCCCTCTTCACTAAACATAAATTCCATAATTACGAAAAATTAAAATTAAAAAATATGAATTAAAATACGAAATACAAATTACAAATATATACGATGTGTTATTCAAGACTGTACCTACGATACAGTTCTCACTGCTCGCTTACATTATTGTCATTCGTACATAGGATATAGACGATATACCATACAGCAATAAAAATCTCAATCGTTATCTTAATTGATCACCGATAATTTGCTAAACGTCCAATTTATAAATATATTGCCATCTTATTGTACTCGTATATTATACTATAGAGTCTGTAGTATAAACTATAGAGTGTAACCGTGTAGGTACATTTATATTTTATAATAATATCTAATTTATATTTTGTACCAGTTATTAAAAATTACCTGTACACAAACGAGAACCAATTCGGCTTAACTTAATAAAATACCTTTTTCAAACGGGAACCAATTCAGCTAAACGGGAACCAATTCGGTTACTCCCATTTTACGCTTCTATTTATTGGTAGGTATCCTTCAACCATATGCATAATTGTGAATTACATTTTTAGTTGATAAAAATGATTTACCCAAAAATAGTTTAATAATATCCATAGCATATTTATTTCCTTTCTTCCTGGGGGGGGGGGGCTATAAAAAAAAATTGTGCGACAAGCTCGTCAAACTTTCGAGAGGATCTCTGTCCAACTACTATTTGTTATCTTAAATTTAAGTGAAGTATAATATTTTTGTTTTTAAATAATACGTTTTAATTTTTATTTCCACTTATTACAATTTCTAAAAAAAAAAAAAAATATATATTTATATATAAATCATTAAAAATTAAATTGTTGAGCGTTATAATACTATTATTATAAACGAGTAGTACATAAATATTTAAGTCAATAAACCGATTATACAAGCAATGACAACTAAAATAATATAGAGATGAAAAATTATCTTACCAAAGCACTTCAATAGGTTATAACGTATACGAAATTTCACGTTTCATAGTATGACTGTTAGTATATTTATTTTGCATATTTTTGAAAATAAATATAAATTTAATGTTTTACATCAATAAACATGTAGAAAAGCATAATGTACGAGTACATA